TATTACATAGTCAAAATTGGCGTACTGAACAAGGTATCAACCTTTTGGACCACGTAGATGTATTTTTGGCATACTACCACATAAAAGGATTATCAGGAAACGTTAATCCTTATGTGCCTTATGTGTCTTATGATGGTAAATTGTTCATGATAGTAATTTGCCATAAAAAGTAAGTGGATCGAATTTGAACCACATGAGTCTCTTTGTTCAACCACCCCATATAAAATTTTCAATGAACAGTGAGGGTCATAAGTTATGGTTTTTTATGATGAATATACAGCCACAGTAGTGATAGCGCAAATAAATTAACGGTGGGGAGTTTGGATCAGACAAACGTATTCCTTAGACCCTAACATATACAGCGGTTATCACGAAAAGCAAGCCCTTACGTGAAGAGAAATTTTATTTTGTGGTCTATTTTCAATTTTTGAGAAGTAAATTAAACTTGCTAAACTTGGACAACGGCTTGAGACGTTTCATCAAGGTTGCTAAATTTGGATAACGGCTTGTGACAGTTTGGTCATCTTCCAATATGCGGACTTTCATGAAAAGTGTTCCTTTGCATGAAAGTAAAGCTTAATTTTTGTCGGGTTATAACCAGCACGAGCGAAGAACTGTACTAAGCGAAGTGATATAGCGCATCTAACGATGGGGTTACCCGAGTATACCATTCTTAGTTGTTTTTAATACACTTCAGTTACTTTTTGCGGTACAGCAGAGTTTCTGCCAACAATAACCGATAACACCTAGGTCAATAAGCCATGGAATTGATATATATATGTCATATCTAACAAAATTTCATTATGTTTAAAAAATGTCAGTTCCTTCATATGTTTACGCGATTTTTGTATTATTTTGAAAACATATTGAGAAGTTCCAATTATATCTGTTGATAAAACATTGAGTCTTTTGGCGAGTGGATGCTGAAAAGCGGTCGGAAAGCTTTAAAGGCGAAATTGCAAGAGACGGGTGACACGCTAAAGATGACAAAAAACAATCTATCCACTAGTTTGCAATGGGCAAGATATTTTCCAAATAGACACCTTTTTTACTCAAAATTGAACAAAAGCACAGCAACATCCATCGTAGTATTTAGCGACTATTAGCCGTCTACAAATCTCAAAGGGCTACTCAAAGGAAAAGATTTATTTCTGAATGGGTTGGCACGTTGAGATTCTTGACAAATTGTTCTAGAGAACTATGCATCGAAATGTTAGAGAAACGTCTCATGGAATCGTGTCAGTGTTCAAGGCAACCATGTTAACGAATAAAGTCAAATTTGTGAAAAAAAAAACAATTTTTTTTTAGTTTCCTTAATGCCGGGCCTTATTGATAGGATTAGAATCGCAATTAATTATTGTAATTGTCGATTTGATGGTTTTAATAATTGTTTGTTTACCTTATTACACTATAAGATTTATCTGACATATCTTCAATCAATTTTCATATAAACAATAAGAATCTCTTGGATTATTACTGATGCGGTTACACGTGAATATGTCTGCATAGCACACACAGTTTATGTGGTTGTGATGGAATAAATACCTTTAATGTTGAAGTATTTAGTAAATTGTATGTGTGGATGTAACGCAAAAATGTAATAGAATTTTCTATTTGTAATTCGAGCAACTCAAACTACTTGTTAACGTTCTCTTTTAATGTCTAATGGGGTGGCAGTGGGGGAAATATCTAATTAAAAGTTTCGTATAGAAATGCAGCATCAAATAATGTGTAGAAAGTAATTTTTATATTGTTGCAAAACGTGTGTAAAAGTCAAGTTTTATACGGACTGCAAGTTTAAAGGAAAATCCCATCGCGTTAATTAGTGCGACGGCATCACGACTAGGTAAAGTTGGGCGCACAGAGCTCCAACGTTTAATTAAAATAATGGAGGATGTGAAAAAATTATGAGAACCCGAAGAAGAGATTAAGCAAAGGAAATAAGAAAGTAATGTTCGCTTTAGAGCGATGGATGGATTGGCCCACTGTGCTAAGAGAATCAAATATGCGAAAATCATTTAGTTTTCGTTTTAATTGGGTGCGACCTGCTATCGCCCATTGCCCCTAATAAATATTAGCGACTAAACACAGACCAATATTTCTTATTTGAAAATTATTGACAAAGCGTCTTCTTCCTTTTTTTCTTTACTCCTTTCCAAATCTGTTAAAGTTTCTTAGTTATCGTAGGCGTGCGATTAAGCAAGCCTCGATTGCTTTGGTGCATGGCATCTGCATCTAAGGTGCAAGTACATCCGTCACGGTTTAGTTTCTTAAGTCACATTTTGATACCTTAGACATTCATTTATTGCAAATCGAATGATAAACTTTGTTACAGCCTGACATAGAGCTTGGAAAGGTAATATACTTTTGAATACATGCTATGAAGTCGCTTATGTGTGCAAGTAATTACATCTTTTTTTTTTCTTTTTTTTTTTTCATCACAATAAATGTTGAAACTCTCGTTACAAGCAAACGAGTATAGGGGCCGGAGTGTATTTCCCGTTGTTGGTTAATCAAGGAATTTGTCTGCTGAAAGTGGATATAATCTGAACTTTTTCATTTAAAGACTTTATTGCATTTAGCTCTAAATTGGCATTTCGTGACCTTATAATGATGCATTTTAAACTATTTTGCATTAAGAGTCCTAATCTATAAAACTTAATACACTTCGCTTAACCTCTTGTTTAACTTTCATGGTTTCTCTTTTCGTTTTTGTATTGTTACTCTCCACCGGCATGTTTGTTAATGTACTTATATCACATATAATAAACGGAAAAATGCATCGCGTTGACTTTACATATTAGACGAGAATGTCTAACACAATATATCTTAAATGCATGGTTATGTTCGCAATTGCCGCGATCAACGTATTAACTACAAAAATTTTATGCATATTAAGCATAACCTGAATACGTTCAAGAACAAGCAGCTGCCATACCTGGCTTACAAGCTTAGACAATAATAATTTTCGAATAAATTTAAACTTAATTGTCGCGATTTTAGCATTTATCTTTGTTTGTAACTGCACATCGCATGTTGAATGAGATTCGCTCCATATGTTCCGTAATGTATAAGCATACGGTATTTAGTGGTAAAAATAGAAGGTATTAAAGCAATCGGCTTAAGCCTAACGTAACTTATCTCTCTCGTACCTTCATGTAAATTTTGTAGCTACTTATGTAATAGGAGAAAGAGGAAAAGATAAAACTTAAAAAGAACTTAACACAGCTGCTTGTAATACTATTATGGTCACTGACATCAATTTTTTTGTTTTTCATAAGTCTGTCCGCACGAAACTCTTGAGGCCATAAACAATAAATAAAAGACCTTTTTACATGTGTACGTATCGTATAATAAATTATTTCATAGTTTGGTAAGAAAATTTTATTTAACAGATGAAAAAGACTTCCAGCGACATAAACTCTGGCTTGCTTTCACACAAACTATCACCTTGTGTTAGATATATATATTTTTTTTATATTATTCTCGAATGAATTGAGAAAAAGAAAACAATGGCTGATTACCTATGCTAAAAAGATGGATCAGGTTAGATTAATTTGAGCTGGTTAGAACAGGATGTTCTAACCATTTTGAATTGTAGACGATACTTGGTTGATCGCTAAATATTCAGTATTAGATAATACGCAATAAATTTAAAACTATTCGATTTTTTGTATCGTATTTATGTAAGTGTCTTATTTATATAATACTTAGGTATTGCCAATTTTTTAGACATCTCAGCGAATCTTCGGTTGTTGATTTGCTGAATAACAGAAGAAGAAGAATATATATACACATCTGTCACTAAAACAACTCTGTAACCTGCAAATTAATTGTGGGAATTTCAAAAAATTTTGACATATTTCGCTTGAAGCTTATTACTATCTAAAATTCATATGTATTCGTCAATAATCATCCCATTTCTATAAGTCATTCTACGAACTTATGGACCGATGTGTTACACTTAGTCTTACTTTTTGTTATTATTATTAATATTTAATAATAATTGTTATAAATGTTATTATATTGTTTTATTAGCTCGACGAAATACTGATTCAATACATTTGAGAACAAAATCTGACTATTATCTCTCCAGCACTTACTAAAACACCGATAATTATCCTTTAAAAGATTACAGCTTTTATTTTACAGCTGTAAGTTAATTCTTACATTTTGCTTTCGTGATAAATGCAAAAATATGTTTAAGAGGACGAAGGATTCGTCCGCTATTATCAGAAATTGATATGCAAATTTTTTTTGGTGATTGACCAACAACAATTCCTCTTCTTCTTTAAATATCTTTTTATGCAAATTTTAAAATTTTGTAAGCTTTCCGCAAAGTGGCGGTAATAAAATTTATTACATTTTTTTTGCTTTCATTTCATTACAATTTTTTAATGTATTTACATATTAAAGTGAAATAAATGTCTTCTGTTATTAGTATTTAGAAAAATAGATTTTTTTATTGAGTAAAATTTCGCTTCTCCCGCAATTGAATCTTTGAGCATTTCTTAAAAACTGTTCGTTAGTTACCTTAAAAAGATAGCATTTTAATTATGAAAAGAAATTAAAACTTTACACTCGGGTAAGGCCGGCCACTAAGTCTTCGGAAATATGTTCCAAACTAATCCACTTTCAATAGAGTTCGTCCTTGACACAATTTATATCAGTGAAGTAAATTTTATCATAAATTAAGCATAAAAATATGTTTCTATACAGATTTCAATCGATTTGGAAGACGACTTTTTATGGACTGGTATAATAAAAGGTGGCATAAAAAACCATAACATTTTTATTATTAATAAAAATTTATGTGATTCTCCTCCTTTTTCTGATAATCAATCAATCTAATTATTCGTTAATTTTTTTTTTTTTTTTTTTTGGTATATTTATGTCTGTCTCTCTCTTAAATAGCATGTATCAGTTGATTTATTTAGTTATTTATAATTCTTCAACTTATTATTTTTCTATAATTTTTATTTTTTTTATTTTTTTAATTACAGTAAAGGGGAACAATTTTCATTAATCACATGTATGTTGGTTTAATTGGATGTGTGATCATTGTAAAACGAATTCAACAAGAGCTTGAGTACAGGATCTGAAAGTAAAAGAAAAGGAACATCGCAGAAAGCAAAATGATTGTTAACGAATCGAAACCTTTGTATTGCGGTTCTGGTTTTGACGATTTTCACACCAGGTAAATTACATATAAATTTTATTCTTTGTTTATTTCACTACGCTGTTCTCTCTGTACGATATGTGTTTCTTATACGTCTTTGGTTTGAATTTAAAATTTTTTCTTTAATTGCCGTTTTGTTAAACATGAAATGATGTAAGTGACATTTTATCCAGGGACGCATGAAACACGAATTTCGGATATCGATTGCTTGTAATAAATATTGCGTAGCTTCTCCTGAATAATTTCTAATTTTTACTTAACTTTGTCAAGTGGTTGTGAAAATTTTTTAATTCTCTTTCGTATGCTTCTAACTCCTGCCTCACCCAACCATTTTCATGAGAATTTGGTGTGAAATTGCATCGAAAATCTACCTATTTATACCATTATTTCATTTTGTATATAAGATTTTGTGAATATTTGCATTTTCGTAACCGCCAAGCGGATAAACGGATGAACGTCCTTGACTGAATCTCATGTGCAGCAGAAACAAAGATTTATAATATATATGTTCAGTTCTTACACATTTCGAAATTCAAATTAAAGAGCATAGCCAAAGGCGAGATTATGTTAGTAGATGTGTCTTGCTCGTTTATAACACTCGGACATATTCATCACGGACTCGATAAATTTTATATACAGCAAAGGTGTGTTAACGCTTAACGGGAGTATATATGAAGACACAGTCAGGGGTAGTTTTGAAAAATCAAAAACTAACTGCCCAAATAAGCAGGCGAAAACAATCGCTAAATAAATAAATAAATTAGGGTTTATACGCACAAATCAATCTTGATCGAAATGATGATTTTATTAAAGAAATTTTTTTGCGTTTATACTCTGTTTACATACATAACAGCTTCCTACCCTTGCAAAATAGCGCAAAACTTAATAACTTAATAACAAATAAATAAAGTGAGTAATAATATTATACATAATAATCAATACAAATAATAAATAATAAGAAGTGATTAATACTATTATGTAATTCCAAATGATAAGAGCGCTACGCGAATTGCATTTTTTTTTCCTTATTTTTCTTTTCATATAATTGGATTGATAGAAAATGGAAATCAGGACTTCGATGTGTATCATATATTTTTTCTTTTGTTTCTTCGCTTTTTATTGTGACACTTCACCTGGACGCACATATTTAGTTACATATATGGTCGCACTACAATACTCCCCACTTGGGTTCTCAAACGAGTCGGTCTTGTTAGTACATTCGTCTATTCATCTCTTTGTTTACTATCTGCTATTTAAAAATTGACAGCCATCTTCAAACATGGAACTTAGTACATATGCTCTTAGCAGAATTTCAAATTTGAAAATTTATATAGTCGCTAACACCCATGCATCTACTACAGATTAAAAGAAAGCTACAACTTACAATTCTTAGTAGATATAAATGTGAAATTTGTTACACATCCACCGTGATAAATTCCTTTATAGTGCTTTTATATGATCTGGATAAATATTGCAAACAAATTTCAAATGTATTTGCTCGAGTGACATCCATAGAACTCAAGTAGACATTTCTTGTCCACGTTTGATTTATATTCTTTTTAAGTAATAAAAACTTAGCAACAACAATCAAATACAAAGAGAGTTACAGTGAAATAAACGGATTTAGAACGATAACTCTAATACTAAGTAAGAATAAATATAAGTTAGAAGAGAAAATTATCTTGATGCCCGACCAACTTAAGCTTAATAATGAATCGCAATCGCGTAAAATGCGATACAATATGTCCCCTTAATACGACCAGCTATACAATATTGTTATGAAATTCGCTTTTCTAAGATACAGTCCGTATCACTGAACCGTGGATATTTTGTTCAAGAGAAATACACTTCAAAGTTCTTTTATTTACAGTTATACTCCTTAAATGCAGGATTGTTCATAATTTATTTTTGGCAATATTTTCAACTGCTCAACTTAAATATTCTTTTTCTACTAACTCTGCCTTCCACAAATATTCTATTTATATACATTTTTACCATCATATTACTGATACCTAATTTTATAGCTTGATTTTCAATTCGTTAACCTGGTTTTCTGGTACTCGTTTTCCTCGGCCGGCAGCTGCATGACGCGTTGCGAATATGCATTTGGTTTTTCCCTCCTTAGAGAGTTTATTAGTTAGCTGGAATGAACAGGGTTTGGCATTTCAATAACTATTTAGTTTGTGAGACTGCATGAAACCCCCAAAATGACTTGACATATTGCACCAATCTATTCCGGATCATTTTCTAAATAGATTTAAACCTCTCGCCCTCTGCGTTTGTTTCCGTGCAGGTCTAGTGCGTGCTTGTTTATTTTTCTATTCAGCACATCGGTCGTAATTTCTGGAATATTTTCATTGAGTTTAGTACACTGACGGCGATATTTTTCTATTGAAAATGGGCAGAATCGAGCAGTTTGTTTCGTACTTTGAACAGGTCCTTCTAAAGTGATATTAAGCCTTTTACTATCATAACGTTTTTAATTGTTTAGCGTCGTGAATTTAGGTTTTAAAAGTTCAAACCTTTAGACAACCTGTCTGCTTTCTCTCAAGCAAAAAATGTGTAAATGTACTGAACTTATTATGCGGAAACGCAAATATTCTTTTGAAGACAGTTTACATCTTAATAACTATAATACCAGTAATCCTGTAGAGAATGTTATGAAGTTTGGCTGCTAGTAAGAAGCAAATAATAACTTTAAGATTTAATTATCGAATGTACATTATATACTTTGTTATGAAGGAAAAGAAGGTAAGTCTTTAAAGGCTTTCACTTTTCTTTTCTTTAATATTAGTAATAAAATTTATTAAAACAAAATTTTAAAATATATTAGTTGTATACAAAAGAAAGGATCTAATTTTCCATTTAATGAGTATTAAATAAATTTTCTCTCTCTCTCTCTCTCTCTCTCTATCTGCCTTTCTGTTAATCTCATTTTCAGTTACAAAGGCTGGCACGGTTATATTTCGTTCATAGTCTGTGTATTGGGTACTATAGCCAATACATTAAACATTATTGTCTTGACGCGCCGTGATATGCGCTCGCCTACGAATGCCATACTAACGGGGTTGGCTGTGGCTGATTTGGCTGTTATGCTCGAGTACATACCCTACACCATACACGACTATATTTTAGAAGAAAGTTTGCCGCGCGAACAACGACTGACTTATTCATGGGCATGTTTCATTAAATTTCATTCAATATTTACTCAACTTTTACACACAATATCCATTTGGTTAACAGTGACTTTAGCTGTGTGGCGTTATATAGCGGTAGCACATCCGCAAAAGAATCGCCAATGGTGTGGTATGCGTACCACAATCATTACTATCGCCACTGCTTATATCGTTTGTATACTAGTGGTGGTGCCGTCGTTGTATTTGATTACCTCAATAGTAGAGTATTTCGAAATGTTAGATGCAAATGGTAAACCCCTATCCTCGACACCTTTAACTCAATACATGATTGACTATGAGCGGAATATTGAAAATAAATCATTGAACTCAATTGCTTTCGAGCAGAGTCTAAATGCGGTCAACCAAAGCAATATAATTAGAGTAGAGATAACTACATTCAGCACTAAAAGTAACTCATCTTCTCTGCTATCCGCAACAATATCAACGTCACCATCGTCATTATCATCAAATAAAAATTTAACCTTCGAGTTAAATCGTAATGTCACCGTTTATCGTTTATACCTTAGCGAGTTAGCATTACGCAACAAATCCCTGCAGAATGCCACACAACTAATTTATAGTGTGTTAATTAAATTAATTCCTTGCATCGCTTTAACGATCTTATCGATACGTTTGATCATGGCTTTGTTGGAAGCCCAGCGACGCCGTAAAAAGCTTACTACGAATGCTGTCAACGGCTTGAAATCTGTGACAAATGGCAAAGCACAAGAACAGCAGTTGCACAAACGAAAAGGTAGCAAAATATTCGAAAAAGAAAAGCAAACAGACCGCACCACACGTATGCTCCTAGCAGTATTATTATTATTTCTCATTACCGAGTTTCCACAGGGTATTCTTGGTCTTTTGAATATTGTGCTGGGTCGTGATTTTCTAATGCAATGCTATCTAAGGTTGAGTAAGTATTTATTTTAATTCTTTCAACAAATTTAGATAATCTATGACACCACAGTAGAAAACTGTACTCGCATTGACGTAAATTGGAATAGACATCCGAACACATAAAGAGTGTCTGCCAAAATCGAACTTTGCTCCTAATTTAAATGAATACCAACTATATAATATAAATTATTAATGCTGCAAATTTTAATTCAATTGCCAAAAAAAGTTAACAAATTATTAACAGAAGAATTTTAACATTTTGTTCATTTTTTACTAGAGTTATTTCATTTTTTTAGCAGATCACGCTCATATTCAAAATCGATTTTTTTTCCTACTCCAAGCATATTCAAGTAGCTACGATACGCGTCTAACAAATCGGTATACCGTACTACCCATTCCCATAGTAGTTCTGGCGATCGCTTGATCGTTAAAGATATAACACTTGCCGATCAGGACCGCTACCAAGCCCTCTGTTTAGAAGCATCTCCTGTGTGATTGATCATATTGAAAAAAAATATATATATATAAAAAAAAAAAATTTTTTCCTTTGTCCAATTAAGAGAATGTCAGCTTCAGACAGACGAAAAAAGAACGTCATTTTAATGGTCGTAAGAGGGAAATTACCAAAGGGAGAAGGGATATTGGTTTATTCTAACGTTTCAATTTGTGTAATTCAAGGACGCAATTATGAGAAAGCACACAGAATACGGAAAACTACCAAAAATATCATCATTTTTCATCTTAATGACTTTCGACCTCAAATGGCAAAATACAGCCAGGAAAGTTGAGTAGCATTGAATTGAAATCTCTTTTCCTTCCCGTTGTATGCAATAAACACTATTTCTTCTGACCGACCCTAATTACAAGCAATGTCTTGTTATGTGTTGGAGCAAAGTTTCTCATTAATCGCTTATTGTATTTCTCATTAATCGCTTATTGTATTCATATCTTCTGGAGAAAGTCATTTTATCCCTGCCTTGTTTTCGATTTCTTCACTTTATTTCCACATGTTATACCCCGGCATCATCATATTTTTCGTATTGACAGAATTAACTTACTTAACTTAGCAACCTACAAAATTTCTAAAGTCGGACGTACGATATTGGATAACGGAGTACGATGAAAACTCATTTCTCAAAAGTAGAGCATCCTAAACATGTAACTTTGACGATATCGACGCTGGAATGTTGCTTATACCATAACCACTATTCTAAATGTTTGCTGTTAGACGGGTTTTAATAATATTTTTAATTTTTCTTTGTACGTTCCCCTTTCATATATAGGTGACTTAATGGACATATTGGCGTTAATCAATTCCAGTATCAATTTCATATTGTATTGCTCGATGAGTCGGCAATTTCGTACAACATTCGCGTTATTGTTTCGTCCGAAATTTCTTGATAGATGGGTACCAGTACCGGCAAACGAAGATGACAGACAAACTGGTGCGATTAATAGAGATGATATTAGTGCGTTACCAAATTTAAGGCAATCTGTTCATCGATCAAATCGGATGAAACGTGATAGGTTTAACAGAAGTATGGTTTTTGAGCAGAATGCAGCCACAACAACGCAAATAACAAATGTGTAGCAACAATCGAAGCGGTTTGCTCAGACCGTAAACAGTAAGCGGCCTTACTGGAATTCCTTACGATTGAAAATCAATCGTAAGCCTAGCCAGCCGGCGATAACCGAATGTGATTGTGATCATTACGTTCCTCAAGATAAACAACTTAGAACGATTGTTGATAACAATGCAACAAATACAATGGAAACCACAATGCTGTCTGCAAATTATTTACATTATTTAGTCTACATTTCAACGTATCATCCAACAGTAAAATGTGAACAATGCTAAAACCAGAGGAAATAAAAAACAACTCATTGTCGCTTATTGTTAAGACACACACACACACACAACTTGATGAAAGAAATATATATAGAATTTCTTATGAATCATTTATTGCAATATCAGGCCGACAATAGGCACATTGAACTTGAAAACGAAAATGAACAAACGAAATGTTTATGTATATATGTATACCCACGTTGTATGTATTTAAAATAATCAGCAACGATAAGATACTCGGACAATTGTTCAAAAATCAGACATACAGTTATTAATGCAACATTATTAACAGACTTTATTACGACTAGTTTAAGATACTTGAACTATTGTTACCGTAACAATACAACGCAACCACTAATGTTGTACGTTGCGAATTGTGTTTTCACTTTCGTGTGTAGCAATGGCATTTACAACAACAATAAAATTGCACTTTTGTTGTTGTTGCTGAGTGGCGCTATTTTGCTAAAGACAAAAGCGCAAATCCCCCTGAAGGTTATTGTTAGAAGGTGTTTTCCTTCTTTGCCAGTTTTCTCTATACCGTCTTCGTCACTATGTTCTTCTTCTTATTTGTCTTGTTTCTATTGTTGTTGTCATTATGGACTTTACTTATCTCTACACATTGCTTAATACATATATGCATACAAAGTTACATGTAAACATATATACAGATGTACGTACCTCCATATAAGTGTGGATAACTATATGTCCATTGGTGGGGATCTCTCTCTCTCTCTCTCTCTCTCTGTATGTAGGTATATATATGTATATATATATATGTTAAAATTTTATCCTATCACTTAGAAATGGTGTCGGTTTATTAAATTTTTTTCTTTACACATACACACATACACGCCCTCTTGTAAAATTGAGTTTATTGTGCGTTTATTATGTGCGATTATTTCCTGTCTAGCATTGCTGAGAATATAGTTATAAGACACCTAGGCATGCGTAAGAAATCCTAAGTACGTAAGATGAAATTTGCGTGTAATACAATCTTAATAAATGTTAATTAAATAACTGATATCATAAAAAAATCAAATAAATATCAAAAATATGAAAATAAATAATTCTTTTAAGGTTTCAGTACACAAATTACAATTGCACTTTCATATACATTGACCTAAACTGATTAGTGTTTTTTTTTTTTATGTAAACAAAGTTAATGCAACAATTCGAAACGACGATGGAAAACAAGAAATGCATGCATAAAACTATAATATTTACGATCATAAAAACTTTAATTAATTTTTTCATTTTGTTTGCCGGGACAAGTTTCACTAAGTAGTTTTATATAATGCAAGTTAATGCTTAAATCATAGTTTCGATATATATTCGCTATAATTTATATATAGCCTATTGAGAAAGATACTTGGAAATATTCAGTTATTTCGATGTTGCTTCAACGGACTCGCTCGGAACCTAGTGACTGTTAAAGATGATAAAACTGCAAGCGGAACGATAGGCGGACAAATCGACATCCCTAACATTCATTTTCATCAAGAAGTTCGCTTGTTTGGTGAGTTTACTAAAACTGAATAAGGGTGTGAAGATAAATTCGAATTTAACTAGTAAGGACACCTACCATTTCTGTTACCATACCTCGTTAACGACTTAACAGAGCTCATGTTAAATAATTACAATTGAGATATAGTTGGTTTGAAAGCCTAATCCGTCCATATTAAAAAAAAGAAAATATTTTTGTGGACATTTCATGAATCAATATAAAACTACCTTTCAAGCAAACTAAACAAATTCAAATTCTGCTTATGGAAACTATTTTTAACGGTATTTGAAATTTGGTATGTTAGCGAAAACTGCATATGGAAAAAAACCCAAATTTGACACTCTAGTGCGGCCAAACTAGAAAATGTCGCCTATATTCACCTATATCACGTGAATCTATATGAAAATACCTATCGATTAAGCAAAAAAAAATTCACATTTTGCTTTCAGGAACTATTTTTACCGATTTTTTGAAATTTGGTATGTTAGCGAAAACTGCATATGGAAAAAAACCCAAATTTGACACTCTGGTGCGGCCAAACTAGAAAATGTCGCCTATATTCACCTATATCACGTGAATCTATATAAAAGTACTTATTGCGTGGGCAAAAAAATGCACACTTTGCTTTCAGGAACTATTTTTACCGATTTTTTGAAATTTGGTATGTTACCATAACATAGCTATGGGAGAACACCCAAATTTGATACTCTGGTGCGGCTAAACTAGAAAATGTCGCCTATATTCACCTATATCATGTGAATCTATATAAAAGTACCTATTGCATGGGCAAAAAAATTCACACTTTTCTTTCGGAAACTGTTTTGAACGATCTTTTGAAATTTGATATGTTAGCGAAAAATGGT